ATAGACAGTGACTGTAATGGGTTATGTGGTGGGGACTTGATAATGGGGGAATCTAGTAACCATAATGTTGCTCATGTAAGTGTATATTAATGATACCAAATTTTAAATAAAAAAATTTAAAAAAACCCTCCGTGCAAACTTTCCAGTGGCTTCCCATCTAATCAGAACAGCAGCCAAAGTCCTCACATGGTTTACAAGTCCCCAGGAGAGCTATTTCTGCTCTCTCCTATCTCACTCTGCTCCAGTCACACTGGAGAGGGTGTGTCACCCATAGGGCTTTTGCCTGGAACCCGATTCCTGGAGACAAGTGCATACCTCCCTCTTCCCATCCTTGAGGCTTCTATTCAACATTATCTTACTAGAGAACTCTTGCATGACCATTTTATGGAAATAGTATGTTCTACCACTACTGATACTACTGACTTTTCTTTCCTTCTTATCCTCCCCATTGTTTTACACTGCATTTATCACAATCTGGTGCCCTGCTGTTGAGCTGTTAGCAGTATAGAAGCGCCATGCAGGAAGTCAGCAACTTTTTTCCCTCACTACTATAATCCCAGCACCTATGACTGGCACATATTAGTGTGGCAAATATTAGTCACTCAGTAAGTTATTTGTTGAATGGATGAATAATGGAAAAGAAAAACGGATTACCTATAAACTTATATTAATGCTACTTCAAGAGGAAAAACAAACAAACCAAATGTCAAATAGCATTAAATGGCTAGACACAGTATTTAAACACAGTACAAATTTATGACAATCAACAAAGATACAGTCCAGAGCAGTAACAAAGAGAAATATATATGAAATTAGGATCCCCCAAGTATTTACAAATTGATTATTTCATTAAAACACTATATAAAATTTTTATTGTAATGAAAATAGAATTTTCTGTTCATTAAATTATTTTCTTGTACTAGAGAGATACTCAGGACTGTAATTTATAAAAAGAGGATATAAAAAGCCTACTTGTAACTTGACCTTTAAAAGGCTTTAATTCAATATATGGATAATATCCTTATTTAAACATATGAACAACATACACATGTCAAAATTCATTGAGCTGTATATAGTAAGATTTGTGCATTTTATGATATGTACCTCAATAAAAAATAAATACAATTAAGGATTTGGATAAATTAATAAAGTACATATGAATATCATATAAACGAAATAGGTTTCTTACAGAGAGAGCTGCATCTGAGGGAAGTCAGCTGAAGTATATTTATGCATGAAATCTCCAGCCCATTTAGAAAATGAAGGAAGATACTCCTCTACTTCCCGTTTTATTTCATCTTGATTCAGGTTTAAGCGGTACCTGCCAAAATAAGAGATTAAATACAAAAGAATTCGAATAAATTAAGTAAGGATAAAAACATCCAAACAAGCAATCCAAGTACCCATCAACTAATAACGGATAAACAAAATGTAATTATACATACAATGGAATTTTATTCAGCCTTAAAAGTAAGACAGCAGAGACCATCAGTCCTCCAAAAAGAGCTGCTTCATCAGGGAAGACAAAATTAGCAACCATAACTCTGCCAAGACTGCTTCTCCTGAGTACATTGGCAACCTCAAGCTGAAAGAATAGCTTAAATTCCTCAAGTCAAGGAACAGCTGACACCAAAATGCTCCAAATGATCACTCTCAGACTACCTTTTCAGAGGCAAACGTTATCATTGGAAGAGGCTGTCTGAAATCTGGCAACTTCTAGCTGATAGAAGAGGATGCAGGTGAGGATATGGGGAAACAAATACTCATACATTGCCAGCAGAAATGTAAACTGGGACAATATCTATACAGAGCAATTGAGCAATATACATCAAAATTTTAAATGTATCCAGACTAGAATCTGTCCTGGAGGAAAATGCTATATAGGACATTACTGGACAAAACTGAAATGTGGACAGATCAGACACAAGTATTCTATCAACATTAAGCTTCCTGAAGTTGGTTAACTGTATTGTGGTTGCATAAAAGAAAATTTTTATTCTTAGGAAATACACACTTAAATACATATCATGGTTTTTCACCTCAGGGACATGAGCCCTGAGCCTGCCTGACTCAGTGTCAGCAAGAATGTGTCATAAGCGAAGTCCTTAGCTAGCAGCAGGTTGCCTCACCAGGCACCCAGCTGTTGAAGGTCACCATGTCCCCGGCTCCAGCCACCACAGGGTAGCCTGAAGAGAAGAGGCCTGAGGCAGGGTGAGTGAGGCCAGATTTGCCCACTGCAGTGGGGACCCCTGAGCCCACAGGGTACCCCAGGATATCAAAGGCAGCTTGGTCTGGTCTCTGGCCAGTATCTTCATGGTACACAGCCCATCATGTACAACAATGTATACTATTTAACCTTAGAAAAATAATCTACACACACACACACACACACACACATACACACTAGCTGAATCTAAATACAGTTTGTGGATTTTCTTTGTACTACACTTGCAACTTCTTTCTAAATTTGAAATTACTTCCAAATAAAAAGATTTTTTTAATGTTTAGATGCACATATCCTCTGGCAAATAATCCCACTTCTATGAACTGGGCTTAGGTATGGTATGGACCCACACATTTATGAAATAAAGGATGTGCAAAGGGAGTTATTATAGAATTCTAATAGAAGCAAAGACTGAAATGCCAGGGGGCTACTTAAATAAATTATGCTACATCCACAGAATCAAACATTATACCAATTTTAAATAAAAATGAGAGAGCTCAGTAGGTACTGATATGGAATGATCACTAAAATTTACTCTTTAAGTACACAGTAATGTGCATGGTATGCTGCCATTTATATAACACACGAAACATAAATGTGTGTGTGTGTGTGTATACATACACACTAGACACAGAAATGTTCGAAATCTCTGGAAGGACATAAAAGAAACTGTAAGAGTGGTTGCCTCTGCAGAGAGGAACTGGGTGGCTAGGTAGATAAGGCTGGAAAGTACTTTTACAGCACACTCTCTTGTACTGTTACAGTAACTTATGATATACTTGAATTTATAATCTATTTAGAAATAATAATTTATTATTTAAAAAATACCGCACAATTGAGTAATCTTTTTCTTAAATAACTTTCCCCACTCATCATGGAATTGTTTCTCATTGTCATGATATCTCTAGGTAGATTCTTCCCAGTCTGTCTTTTTACAGACCAGAACTCTTTTTTTAAAATTTTCCAAATAAAATTGGAATTTAAAGAATTCCAGTATTAGTTATTTAACATGCTCTGCATTTAATTTCTCCCTTTATAATTTTAGTCAAGTCACAGCGAAATGACATTAACAGCCTGGTCTTCTCTGAGATTCAGATACTTAAGGTAGGATCTTCAAGCCTAGACTTTTATAGATATGAGAGGGTAGAAGATGAACAGATAAAATCTGTTCTAAGATCTGTAACAAGGTAGAAGAGTCTATGAGAGAGGGTAGAAAAGAACCTGTTATTTTAGGATTTGGGAAATTTTAAAAGTATTCTTTTAAACAGGATTGGCAGTACTGCAGATAGGCACAATTCATGAGAGAATTAGTATTTTCATAATTATGAAATGAAACACATTTTCCCTTACAACTTAGGGTATCATGATAAAAACAATTCAGTGATATACTAGAATCTACTAAGAATGCATTCTGACTTACATAATTTGTGCATTTTTTTAGGTTTCCTCTTTTCTCTACTGTAATGGTGCTATCAGCTCTTAGATTATATATTATGAAGGTGCCTCTCTCCTGCATCTTGGAAACCAGATACATAAGACTATAAGATATTAGTGAAAAGTAACAGATGCTGAGGGCATGAGAAACATTCCATTATGTAAAGTGCACAAGGTTTACTATATGGACATCATAAATTATGAGCAAGGCTACTCAGAACACTGTCATCTTCCATCCTGGTATTTAAGTTGGGTCTGTACTAATCAGGCTCCCTAATACCTGAATGCCTGCAATTCCCCTGCCCTTGGAGGAGAGCTGGATTTAGTGACTTGCACCAAATGAATAAAAAAAGCAGAAGTGACAAAGGAGGAATGCAGAGACTGGGTTATAAAAGGCCTGTTTGTTCTTTCTTGGATCCTTCAATCTCAGGAAGCTGCCACCTTGTCATGCAGACACATCAGGCAGCCCTGTGGAGAGAGGTGAGGGACTGAGGCCTCATGAGCAGGTTCTCCCACCTTGATCAAGCTTTCAAATGCCCGCAGCCCCACAGCAGAGACCTTGAGCCAGAACTCCTCATTAAGTGACCTCCAAATTCCTGATTTACAGAAACCATGATAGAACATTAGATGTTTGTCATTTTAAGCCACTAAGTTTTGATGTGATTTGTTTCAGGGCAATGATCAATACAATACAAAACAGGTAAGTTATCATCATATGCTGATTAGGATATGAAAAAAATTTTTTTAACCTGAAATGCAAAGTGGCAAATAAAGCAGTAACTCTTAAAGCAAAAACTTCATCTACTTATATTCTGAATGCCATGCTTTGTGGTCCTGACCAAATGACAACTTCTCTGTGCTTCAGTTTCTTCATTTTTACAGGTTGCTATTAGAGTCTATAACGTAAGATGCTTGAAAGCACTTAACACAGTGCCTGACATATGGCAGGATTCTAAAGTGTTTTTAGGACAATAGATTGTAGGTCATTAGTAAAATGGGTTGTGTGGAATTTTGGAACACATTTTTCCCATAAAAGTGAAACAATTATGGGAAAAGTAAGTTAATGTCAACTAGTTTGCAAATCAAAATCACCACTAATAAAAACATTTCTGTGAATCTAAAGGTAACTTGCTCAGTCATAAAACTGGCAAAGTTAGAATCTGAAAACAGGTCCACCTACCTCTCACACCCATACAATTTTCAGTATGTCACATGTTTCTAGAAGTAGGGGAAAAAGTTTTTCACACTTTCTGAGAGCACCTGAGGATTCTACCATGTGCAAGTCAGAATATTTAGATATTTTTAACCAAAGAGATTCTATTCTACAATTTCAGAAGCTCTATAATTTCTATAGAACTGCAATGGGGCAATACAACCCTGGAATCTTATTCATTCTAGTATTACACGGATTTAAATTTAATACTCTAATAACCAAATACCTTATGGACTCTAGAAAAGAAGTTATATAATAGAACTGTATCTACAGTTTCTCTCATAACTACTTACATTTCTTTCAGATGCCTTATCTCCTGAACAGTTTGAAAAGCAAATTCTTGTAGTTTCTCCGGGACAAAGCTAGCACTTACTGCTTTTTGAAATACTTCATGGAGAATTGTACCAATCAGCATTTGGCGTGTGGCTGGATCAGAACTCTTAAAAAAAAAATTACATGAACATTTTATTTTACTTATTAACAGATATGACTATATATTTATTAATTAACCTATTAAACCACCATAGCCAAAGCATACTGGTGAGGCATATGCGAAACAATTTTTTTTTGGTGAGTGGAATTATAGGTGACTTTTACTTTTTTTCTGTTTGGAATTACCTGAACTATTTTACAAGTATGTTACTTTTTTTAAAATCTGCATTTTCCATTTTGAAAAAAAGTAAAATAACCTTTATGAAGTTCAACATATCCTCAAATATAACATGTTTTTCTCTATTTTCACTTCATAATCTACCTAAACAGAAAAGTCAATAAAGGCATAGCTTAAAAACTAATGTAAGTAAAAGATATTATTCAAACATAAAATTTAAACTTAGAGCAGAGACTTCTGAATCATTCTCTCCACTTAAAAAGAAACAGTATTTTGCAATTAACTTTCATAGCCTAGCCCTCCCACTTAAAGCTATCAAAATAAAGTCAATCATAACATGCATTAGGAATTTTAAAAATTTAGAGAGGAACTCTCTGTACTATTTATGCAAGTTCTATATAAATCTAAAACAGTAAGTTTTTAAAAGATTAATATTCAGGTCTGCTTTATAACAGATGGTTACATGAGAAGTTGCTAGTTTCCTCCACAATTAAAGAAGAAAAGCTGATTTAAAAAAGCAACTACAAATAACCAATAACTGAGACTATGAGAGAACCTATTTAGGTATGTTTTTTTTCTCTTCTTGCTTAGCTATATTTTTGATTTTCTAAATGCATATAGGTTAATTGTGTAATTAAGAAAATACCCTGAAAGAAAAAGCAAACTTTTAACAAATAAAAACCCAGGTTCTTCAACAAATAAATGGGATTGAAACAAAGGGGATAGATGTAAGTCAGAACTAATATAGATGAAAAATTTATGACACATATTAAGCAAACATAATTAAAAGACCTTGTTTGGATACTGATTCTAATAAACTAATTGAATAAGAAGATATTTTTAATAAAAGACAATAGAGACAAGATTAACTTAAGACAGATTTACAGAATTCCTTTTAATTTTATCATATATGATAAAGATACTATACTCGTATTTTTTTTAAATGCTCAGGTTTCATTTACTTGCAAAATAATATAATGTTTAGGAACGGCAAAATGGGTACATAGGAGTTATTACAATCATTCCTGTGTTATGTTTGAAACTTTCCATAATAATTTTTTAAAAAGGTAACTCACATTTTTTTTTAGTTTATTGGGAATTACATAAAGCCAGGTTTGGAAATACCTACATGTATTAAATTAAAAACTGTATTACTTAATCTTCTGGTCATTAGAATTAATTATTTTATTAAGTGCTGAATAAGATTCAAAGGATTCAAGCACCTGGCCTTGAGTCCCAGCCCTGTCACTTACGACCTACAATAACTTTGGACAAGTCACTTAACCTCTCTGAGCTTGATTTTTCTTCCCCATAAAATGCAGATGATTAATACCATCTACCTCATAGGACTGGGGGAGGATTAAATGAAATAAAAGTGTAAAAGTGCTCTGTAAACTCTAAGACCCTGCAGAAACATTATGTGTTAATATTATTCACCCTAAAAGTTTCACTGAGGACAGCTCTTCTCATACATCGAATGCTTCTGGCTATGCTTGTACCAGAAATCAGCATATCTGGATATAGAATCAAATATCCAAAATTTTCATCTATTATCCAAGTATCAGATACACAGTCTCCCTCCAAATGAATGATGTCCCCTGGCTCTACTGGTACAGAAAACCTAAAAATAAAACAAAGGTAAAATACACAAGTTTAGATTCCTACACTTAAACATAATAAGGAAGCTTCAAAAAGTAAACAACTATTTTACCTGAAGGAATAAGTACTCTAAACTTACAGATCTTTAAAAAAAATTAATACTAGAATGCAGTCTTCTCAATCAACTCCTAGTTTCTCTGCCCCTTCCTACCTTTGAAACACCCTTGAGAATATCCATGGGTTTTCCTTAATCCCAAAAAGGAAAACTGCTTAGTGTTAAGCATCACCTACTGCAAAAACTATCAAGTCTCTAACAGTGTAATATATAGCTCCAATTATGGATTAGGTTGTTTTAATAATAATTCTCTTGTTCTTAATGCTTAAAGCATATCTACAGCTTCTGTAAATCTAGAGGCATGAAGTCAAATTCAAAGTAGCAAGCATAAAATCATATTTATCTAGTTCAAACCATCCCATTTACAGCCTCCATGTTCTCTGTATCAACCCTTGACCCTTTATGTTCCACACTTGGCTTGAGTAAAAAAAAAATCTAAGGTCTAAGAATGTTCTTATGCTGTAATTTTGTGGTTAGTGAGAACAAATACGAGTTTTAAGCTGCAATATTAAAACAGAAAGTACTGGGAAATAGGACAATAGTCATTTAGTAAGTCCCTTTGTACTTGATTTTCAAATGCAATAAAAATCAAGTTTTAGAACAGGGACTTGCGATGCTGGGTTAATAGGCACAATTTTTATGTAGAATTAATTCAGGTTCATATCTACTCCCTTTATTAACAAAAAATTACAGCAACATCCACACAAGCCCCACAACATCCACACAACGGGATGGGTTTAAGTGCTGCCCTTAAGACTCTACTAGATAAGAAAAAATTACCAGTCATTCCTAAGGATACACAGTTCTTTATCTAGCGACTGGGAAGCAGTGATGATTAGGTGCTTTTCATGGTTTCCTTCTTCATTCTGTACAATATTGACTGCTAATACCAGGTAACGGTTATCCATTCCTTGGCTCAGAACTGTTTTAGAAAAGGAAGCTTCAACCTTCTGAAACCTAAAGCATACACATACAAAAATTACTGCAGCACAAACACGAAATAAGCCATTCAATCTCCTTTATCTACACACCAACCTTCTAGGTTTCTAGGTTTGTTTCTTCTGGAAAGTTTATCACAATGTCCGTTGGCCAAAATAGGTAAAAACTGATTGAGAGAATAAGGGCATAGAATTTCTATTATAAAAACTCCCCAGAAACAATGTCATTTAAAACATGCTTATGATATGGATTTTTCCAAATACTGTATAAACTCTCTGAGGAGCTCTCCAGGACATCATGATTAAGAGGATTAAGGATAAACTTACAAATATTAAACAACAAATTCCAACTATCAGTGTAAACAACCTTCCCGAAATAGCAGTAAAAGGAATTGTCTTGGACACTGTCCATGTTTCTTTACAAATATTAAACAACAAATTCCAACTATCAGTGTAAACAACCTTCCCGAAATAGCAGTAAAAGGAATTGTCTTGGACACTGTCCATGTTTCCTGTAGCTTCTGTAAGGTTCATATCTACTCCCTTTATTAACATTATTAAAAAAGTAACTTTTAATAACTGCAGCACAGAAGTTTTTTTTAAATGCTCAGGTTTCATTTACTTGCAAAATGGTTTCCATTACCATTTACACCAGCTGAGGGTGCAGAGTTCTCTCTGGGATGTTTCTCCAACTAAACAAGAAAATCATCCAGTTGTTTCAATTTACTTTTATAAAGACATTTAAAGGTGGCTGGAACTCCCTAAATTCGGGCTCCTCGTTCCGGAACCCTGAGTACTTAGAAATGTAGTTCAACCTACTATGTAATGCAGAAAATCCTTACATTAAATCTCATTGCGTATCAACTAGCCCCTGCTTTGTAAAGAAAACAAGCTTAATACATTTATCTCATTCCTTTACAGAGTAATTAAAAAATTTCTTCTATAAAATGGGCAATTTCACAATACTTTTATTACCCACTAATTCTAGCCGCCTGAAAACTAAGCAAAATAATCCCTCCTTTGGAAAACATAAATTCCTCTAAGTCTTTCTAGTTTGACTGCAGTTAAATCTTCATCAGTGACAGTCCAACAGAGCCAGTCATTACCTCTCCAATTATTAACACTGAACGCTTTTCACATTACCCTAAAATTATCTGTCACCCAACCCTAGGTTCTATTATATAGTAAACTCTTCAGTCACCTACCCACACACACACACACACCCCGTAGCCTCTGGCCAAGAATTTCCCAAGGTCAGCTGAGAAGCCTTAAGGATCTCCCAAAAGGCACTGCGGATCGTAACACAAAATGCAAAGATCCGTCCACAATAATTAATATAATTACTATTACTATTGAAAATAGTTCCACACTATGACTGTGGGTCAAGTTTCCCTTACCATTTACACCAGCTGAGGGTGCAGAGTTCTCTCTGGGATGTTTCTCCAACTAAACAAGAAAATCATCTAGTTGTTTCAATTTACTTTTATTAAGACATTTAAATGTGGCTGGGACTCCCTAAATTCGGAAAAGAGGTAGTATCAAGGGAAAGAAAGATCTGCTGAGTGAGGGAATCTTCGGACTCCGGCCTGAGTGTGGCTCCAAAAAGAACCCAGTGAAGCAGACCCCAGTTCCGGAAACTGCTCAGGGAACCCGAAAATCCCGAGCCGGGATCTGGGGAGGCGCGGTGCGGCCTCTCCCGCTCCTTTCTTTCAAATCTCCCGCTTTGCTCCCAGGCCCTCCCTCCCCTCGGCTCACAGTTCCGCCGGCGGCGCAGCCTCCTCCCCGAAACTCTCCTCCATCAGCAGCTCCAGTTCGTCCAGCTGCTCCATCCCGGGCGTAGACTGTCGCCGGATAAAACCCCGGGAATCCAGAGCAAAGCTGAAAATAAAAGGCGCGCCAGTCCGCGAGGCGCCGCGCGCATGCGCCGACGCGCCTAGGTCCCAAGTGACCTGCGCAGCCCGCCCCTCCCTCGTCCGGCGCGTGGCTCTTGGAGCGCCGCACCTGGGCGATGCAAGCGCGCATCGCGCATTTGCCCCCTCGCTCTTGGGTTTGGAAAACCGTAGTCTGCATAATCTGGCCCAGACTAAATGCTCCGGGCATCTTTCTAGACCAGGCAACCCGTGCCCAACACACGCTCTTATTTTAAACAAAACCATTTGCAGTTGCCCAAACCCAGACCTTTGGAATTTCACATTCTCTTTGAAAACATCCTCTCCGCTTTCTGGAAAACTCATTGAGAAAATAGAAGCTGTCAGGATTTTCCTACAAAACTTAATCTACAGAACTGCTCATATCTGCACCTGTTTTATAATCTCTTTCCACTTTTTTCAACAATGGACAAAGCGTTCTTCTTGTCAGTGGGCAATTTCTATATTTGTACTCGGGATCCCAGGGTCTCTAGCATTCTCCAAAGCATTGCTGCTTCATTTATTCCCTCATTTTCTTGTATCATCGATCTGGCCCTTACTAGTGGATTGCTCCCAGGTTTCTAATGTGGCCCAGTGTCTTCCACCTTTGAAAGATGTTATCTTAGTGAAAATTATTCCATCCCTCTCGTGACCACAGTCCACAGCAAGCTTCTTTAAAGGATTTTCTTACAGGCTCTCCCATTTCATTCCTATTCATTTTCAATTTTTAAAATTAAAAATTTGTTTATTTTACATACACAGAACATTAAAAACCACCTTTAAAATCAACATACATAATATTTAAAATATATGGAAATGTGTAAAGAATAATAAAATGATCACCTGATAAGACTATCACCCATCTTAAAAATATAATCTTTACCAAAATTTGTCTTTCACATTCATGTTTTCTTATATAAATATTATGAGCAACATCTTGGGTGAAAAAAATGGAAAAGCCTTGTCTGTAATAGATTAGCTACCTGTGACACCACACTAAACCGGTTTTCCTCCAACCTCACAGACCCTACTCAATCTCCTGTACTGTCTTCATTTCCTGCTCAGCCTCTAAATGTTGAAAGGCCTCAGAATTCAGCTCTGGACAAAATTAACTCCTAACTCCCTAGGTTATTTCATCTATTTCCATGGTTTTAAATACCATCTCTATCCTACCAGTTCTCAAAGAGGTGCTTATAGACGAGGCTTTTCTTCTGAATTCAAAAATTCAACTGCCTACTTGACATCTACAACACTTGGGAGGAGGGCTCAATTATAAAATAGCCAAATGGAATTTTTTATTTCCTGACAAACCTATTATTCTCTTCAGTAATAGCACTATCCACCCAGAGGATAAGGCCAGAAACCCAGAAATAATCTTTGAATCCTTTCTGTTAGCCCCTACATCCAATCCGTAGGCAGATCTATAGATTCTGTCTCTTAAACTATCTTAAATCTCTTCATTGTGTTCCATCTTCACTGTCACTACCTAAACATTACCTCCCACCTGGAAAACTGCAATACTCTTACAGGTACTTCCATTCTTATCTCCCTGCAATTCAGTCCTTTTCCCTAATACTTCATCGTGAAAATTTTCAAATGTATGGGAAAGCTAAAAGGATTATATAACAAAAACCCATATGCCTATCACCTAGATTTTACAATGAACATTTTGCTGTTTTTGACCTATCATGTGTATCTATCCCGCTTTGCTCCCAGGCCCTCCCTCCCCTCGGCTCACAGTTCCGCCGGCGGCGCAGCCTCCTCCCCGAAACTCTCCTCCATCAGCAGCTCCAGTTCGTCCAGCTGCTCCATCCCGGGCGTAGACTGTCGCCGGATAAAACCCCGGGAATCCAGAGCAAAGCTGAAAATAAAAGGCGCGCCAGTCCGCGAGGCGCCGCGCGCATGCGCCGACGCGCCTAGGTCCCAAGTGACCTGCGCAGCCCGCCCCTCCCTCGTCCGGCGCGTGGCTCTTGGAGCGCCGCACCTGGGCGATGCAAGCGCGCATCGCGCATTTGCCCCCTCGCTCTTGGGTTTGGAAAACCGTAGTCTGCATAATCTGGCCCAGACTAAATGCTCCGGGCATCTTTCTAGACCAGGCAACCCGTGCCCAACACACGCTCTTATTTTAAACAAAACCATTTGCAGTTGCCCAAACCCAGACCTTTGGAATTTCACATTCTCTTTGAAAACATCCTCTCCGCTTTCTGGAAAACTCATTGAGAAAATAGAAGCTGTCAGGATTTTCCTACAAAACTTAATCTACAGAACTGCTCATATCTGCACCTGTTTTATAATCTCTTTCCACTTTTTTCAACAATGGACAAAGCGTTCTTCTTGTCAGTGGGCAATTTCTATATTTGTACTCGGGATCCCAGGGTCTCTAGCATTCTCCAAAGCATTGCTGCTTCATTTATTCCCTCATTTTCTTGTATCATCGATCTGGCCCTTACTAGTGGATTGCTCCCAGGTTTCTAATGTGGCCCAGTGTCTTCCACCTTTGAAAGATGTTATCTTAGTGAAAATTATTCCATCCCTCTCGTGACCACAGTCCACAGCAAGCTTCTTTAAAGGATTTTCTTACAGGCTCTCCCATTTCATTCCTATTCATTTTCAATTTTTAAAATTAAAAATTTGTTTATTTTACATACACAGAACATTAAAAACCACCTTTAAAATCAACATACATAATATTTAAAATATATGGAAATGTGTAAAGAATAATAAAATGATCACCTGATAAGACTATCACCCATCTTAAAAATATAATCTTTACCAAAATTTGTCTTTCACATTCATGTTTTCTTATATAAATATTATGAGCAACATCTTGGGTGAAAAAAATGGAAAAGCCTTGTCTGTAATAGATTAGCTACCTGTGACACCACACTAAACCGGTTTTCCTCCAACCTCACAGACCCTACTCAATCTCCTGTACTGTCTTCATTTCCTGCTCAGCCTCTAAATGTTGAAAGGCCTCAGAATTCAGCTCTGGACAAAATTAACTCCTAACTCCCTAGGTTATTTCATCTATTTCCATGGTTTTAAATACCATCTCTATCCTACCAGTTCTCAAAGAGGTGCTTATAGACGAGGCTTTTCTTCTGAATTCAAAAATTCAACTGCCTACTTGACATCTACAACACTTGGGAGGAGGGCTCAATTATAAAATAGCCAAATGGAATTTTTTATTTCCTGACAAACCTATTATTCTCTTCAGTAATAGCACTATCCACCCAGAGGATAAGGCCAGAAACCCAGAAATAATCTTTGAATCCTTTCTGTTAGCCCCTACATCCAATCCGTAGGCAGATCTATAGATTCTGTCTCTTAAACTATCTTAAATCTCTTCATTGTGTTCCATCTTCACTGTCACTACCTAAACATTACCTCCCACCTGGAAAACTGCAATACTCTTACAGGTACTTCCATTCTTATCTCCCTGCAATTCAGTCCTTTTCCCTAATACTTCATCGTGAAAATTTTCAAATGTATGGGAAAGCTAAAAGGATTATATAACAAAAACCCATATGCCTATCACCTAGATTTTACAATGAACATTTTGCTGTTTTTGACCTATCATGTGTATCTATCTATTCCTCTATCCATCCATGAATTCAGGCTTTTTAAAGTACATTGTTAAATAGGAGACATCAGTGCATTTCACCCCTAAACACTTTAGCATACATATCATTAGCTAGAGTTCAATATTTTACAGTACTTCGTAAATTTTTATGTAAGTTTTACATGTAAAAATTTTTAATTTACATAAAACAAAATGCACAAATCTTGTGTTCCATTTGCTGAGTTTTGCCAAGTGCGTTTAACAAACCCCTTCAGAAGAAGCAGTTAAGATCATTCCAGAAAGTTCTCTCATGCCCCATCCCAGGCAATTCCCACATCCATCCCCACTGGAGAGTAAACCACTAGTTTTTTGTTTTTTGTTTTTTATTCCATCAGAGATTGGACTTACCTATTCTAGAACTTCATATAAATGGAATCATAGGATACATACTATTTTATGTCAGACTTCTTTCACTCAGTATTGCAGATTCATCTGTTATGTTACGTGAATCAGTAGTTTATTCCTTTTTTATTGCCAAATGACAGTCTGTTGGACCAGTCTCCTCTTGATCTATATTTATATCTTGGACTATCTATATTATTTTGCTATCTTGAATAAAAATGTTACAGATATCCTTATACCAGTCTTTTTGTGGACATATGCTTTTCTCTTAGGTAAGTATGTTGGAGAGAAATTTCTGGGCCATGTTTAGGTTTATAAGATACTGCCAGACCTTTATCCAAGGGGTTGTAATATTTTACACTACCACCAACAATGTATGAGAATTCCAGTTTGTGCATATTCTTGACAACATTAGATGCTGTCAGTCTTTTTCATCTTAATTTGCACTTCCCATCATTAATGACACTGAGTACTTTATCACATGCTTGGCCATATCTGTATCTTCCTATGTAAAATATCTGTTTAAATCTATTTCCAAATTTTTTACATTGTACTGTCCTATTATTATTGAGTTTTAGGAATTCTTTTTTCTTCTTCTTCTCTTGCAGAATTGTTTTTACACTTTTTTTAAATAATTTTTTTATTAAGGTATCATTGAAATACACTCTTATAAAGATTTCACATGAAAAACAATGTGGTTGCTACATTCAGCCACACTATTGAGTACCCCCACCCCATGCCCCATTGGAGTTATAGGAATTCTTTATATAATTCTAGATACAAGACCTTTGTCAGATAGATTTTGCAAGTATTTTCTCCAAGTCTCTGGTTTGCCTATTCATCAACAAGATCTTTAGAAATAGAGCCTCTTTATTCTCCGTGAAATCTAATTTATGCATTTTTCTTCCATACTTTTTGCTCTCTATGACCTAAGGAATGTTTTCCAACCCATAAGTAATGAAGACACTCCCCTGTGTTTTATTCTTGAAGTATGCTGTTTTATTTTTCATTTATATCTATAAGCCATGT